TTGTTCCAAAGAATTTGTTTCAATCTGAGGTGCATACGATACAAACAACCCTAAGCCTTCGTACTGCTTTGGTGTTCGACATACATAGCTACTATTGTACCATTCTATACTAACCATCAGCAGAAGATAAGCTCTTTTGGTAATTTGGTTCATCGCTTCCACTTTTTAAATGGGCATGAGTTTGTGTGTCTGTAGGCAATCACCGTTGCCTTTAGACTACCGTTCATTTGACTAATTTAGTTTCCTCATTTAAATCCCTAAAACCTAAAGTATTGTTTCAGCTATACGTAGTAGCCATTGATGAAGAAGCTAGTTGACCACTCGTAATCTTATGCTTTAATTTGAACTTGTTGGTAATCGATCCGGCTTTCTCGTAAGACTAATAGTGAGATAATGTATGATTTAAGTTTCTGGCACCATCATGTCTTTACAATATCACCTATTGGTGAATCTCCTCCCTAATGTTTTCACTTGATAACTAATCATTTTAAACTAGCCGGTTCTGTCTCATTTTCCTGAAAGCTGATTATAGTTCTGTGTAACAGCAGAACTATCAGTCACTCTGTCTAGGATATATATTTTACTCTCTTCTGAAGAAGTTTACGTTTGCTTTTATTTATTCTTTTGATTTTTGGATTAGATAGCTTTTATCAACGATTGTTTTCTTTTTACCCTTTTAAATGTTTTGTTTATGGAATTCAATTGAAGTTGGGGAAGAAATCAAAATGGTCAACTTGGTCTTGGAACCATTGAAGACTCTCTAGTGCCTCAAAAGATTCAAGCTTTTCAGGTACTGTATGTTATCTGGTTATCTTATAACAAATGGTCCTGTGATGCCCCATTATCTTTTGCTTGTACTTTAGCATTAAGAGAATGAGCCTTTGCTTGCATCGAGGCTGCGAAGTAAACTTTGTAGCCTGTAATGTTGCTGATGGTTCTGCTTCTATATTTTAACCAGACTACAAGCTGCTTTTGTACTTTGTTGAAGTGGTTGTCACCTTCACTTCTTGTGTGTTACAGGGTATTCCTATCAAAATGGTTGCTGCTGGTGCGGAGCATACTGCGGCTGTTTCAAAAGACGGTACCCTCTATGGATGGGGCTGGGGACGATATGGTAATTTGGGCTTAGGTGACCGAAATGACCGCTTAGTTCCTGAGAAGGTTTCTTCTCTCAATGTAAGTCAACAAGATGTTAATACTTATTTGATATTTTTTTCAAGCACTGTTGATGCGATTCCGTAAAGATGATACACTAAGCCTGTGACTTGTAACATGGGCTCTTAGCTCAAATGCCGTCTACGTATGAGTTGACCTGATTGTGTAAAAGCTTATATAGGTGCTTTCATTTGATGTTAAAGGAGTGAAAATTTTAAGTTGCAGGGAGAGAAGATGAATACGGTTGCTTGTGGATGGCGGCATACCATATCAGTGTCTGATACTGGTGGATTATACACTTATGGATGGAGTAAGTACGGTCAACTCGGACACGGGGATTTTGAGGATCATCTCGTTCCGTTCAAGGTGGAAGCTTTAGCTGACAGTTTTACTAAGCAGGTGATCTTTTGCTGCCCCCATCTCTTAATACTGGAAAATGACAGATTTATAACAACCTTAGAATTTGCAAGAAATATAGTTTGAAGTTCTTAGTTCTTACATGAGCCTTACATGTTAAACATAAAAGCATGGTTTTTCGCATATCTTATCCTGCATGTGTAAGCTCAATGATCTCCTAATCATGTCTTGAGCGGAGGGTAATATCACAACTAACAACTAAAATGTGGTACCATCAAGTAATGCCAATTTTTTAATAGTGGGCGACTAAACCAACCAAAACGTAACGTTAGATATGATTTTGTAAAAGATAATAGTTGGGTGACCAAAATAGAAACTTAGTAATAGGTGGGTGACTAAATAGGTAGTTTACCCTAATTTTAATTGGTATATAATTGTAATACTTAATTAATAATGGATCTAAAATAATAATAATAATTTATTATTGAGATGATTTTATCTATATTATAATAATTATTAAATGCAAATCAATCTTGAAATTATTGTAATAAAAAGATTCTTATGATAAAATAATAATAATAATTTATTATTGAGATGATTTTATCTATATTATAATAATTATTAAATGCAAATCAATCTTGAAATTATTGTATCTATATTATAATAATTATTATAATTGTAATAAAAAGATTCTTATGTTTAAGTAATATATAATGAATTTAAAATATTTTCTTATGAAGTGCAATTCAATGATTATTGAAATTTCTCTTTGTTTTTTTTATTTAATTTCAATATAATAATAAAAATAAGGCTTAATATCAAAATAAGTGTCCAAACTATACCTCTTTTTTCAAATAGGTGTCTAAACTATTTTTTTACTCATCCCGGTGCCTAATGTTACAAACGCTACCCATTTAGCTGTCTGGGTCATCAACAGTGTTAATTTTCCCGTTAAGTGACATGTGTCACAACCTAGTAATTTTAATTTTTTATTTAAAATTAAAAAAAATTATATATTTTTAAAAAAATAGAAAACACATTTTGAAATAAACCCCAAATTTTGAAAATCTTCATTTCAACCCCTAAAGCTACGTCCGTCGCCGCCTTTTACTTTCGAAGAAGCTCCGTCCGACCTCTCCTCCCCCGCCGACCAAAAGCCCCATGAAATCGTGACCGATCGAGGACGAATTGACGTTTTATATCCCACAAACCCTAAGATTAAAATCGCAATCCCAAGCATTCAGACGGTCAATCGACGGAAACTATTACTGCGTATGAGTAGGAGGATGGTAGGAACTACGTCGGTGGCAGTGACCGTGGCCCGAAAGGGCGGCGACAGCGGATTAAGGTTAGGATTTGGGATTTTGGGGTTGTTTTATAATATAAGAAAAGTTAGTTTTTTTTATAAATATCACAATATTTTTAATATTTTTTAAAAATTATTTTAAAATTACATATTGTGACACGTGTCACTTAACGGAAGAAATTAATGTCGTTGACAGCCTGGGCACCTAAATGGTAACGTTTGTAACGTTAGGCACATGGATGAGTCAAAAAATAATTTAGGCACCTATTTGGGAAAAGTGGTATAGTTTGGGCACTTATTTTGGTATTAAGCCTAAAAATAATAATTTAAATATTCTTTTTTTGTCAGTTTAGTTTAATATGAGCACCAAATCTATTTCAATATTACTGTGATTTTATCTAATTAATATTACTTTTTATCATATAAAAATTAGCAATATATTAAAATATTGTTTCTCTATTGTCAATTTAGTAATACAATGAAGCGTAAAAGTTACTTTTGTCGAATCAAAACTGCTCTTAGATTGATTGTATGATTTTGGTTTGAATCTTATAGATATCAGGTGGATGGAGGCATACAATGGCACTCACGTCCAGTGGAAAACTCTATGGCTGGGGATGGAACAAGGTAAATCCAGAGCCATTTTGCAGGTGTTTTAGTCGATATGTATGAACAGGTTGCTTTCGTTGATTAGATTTTCTTTCTCATTTGCAGTTCGGACAGGTCGGGGTTGGCGACAATGCTGATATTTGCTCGCCTGTGCAAGTTAAATTTCCTACAGAGCAGGCACGTTCTTGTTATTTTAGCTTCCAATTATTGGTTTATGATAGTCCATATCTCTAGGAATCTTTTAATTTCTCATCGAGAGATCATCTCGTTTCCCGAAATCTCATTCTCGAATATTTGGTTGTTGTTTGGCAGAAAGTAGTTCAGGTTTTGTGCGGGTGGAGGCACACGCTTGCGGTTACTGAAGAGAAAAACGTCTTCTCCTGGGGAAGGGGTACAAATGGACAGCTTGGGCATGGAGAATTGATGGACCGGTAATACCACTTTCATCTACACTAGTGATCACCAGAGGTTGTTTTCTTTTATCTCCTTGATTAGGACTCGAGGTTTGTGATCATGAATTCGGGAACAAGATAAATGAAGCTCCTACGTTATTACACGACTCAAGTTTTCATGATACTGTAGAATGTTATGTTACCTGTACTCGAGTGTAAGTTGTACATATCTATACAAGTCCAGGCCAAGATAGATATAAGTGTAAATTGAGGACTAAGGCTCCTTTTCTCGGTGATCCTTGAGTAGTGACATTCTGGATTCTTATTTTGCAGGAATTTTCCAAAGATTATAGAGTCTTTGAGTGTGAACGGTTCCACCGGGCAACATATAGTTATCTTCAAAGCTTGATCCGTTGTCAGGTTTGGTATAATTACATTAGATGTTCTTCCGGCTCTGCAATCTTCTTCTATGTATATATATGTGTGTGCTTGAATATGTAAATGTTCTGTTGGCAGGTAAATCCTGGGTTTCTCCAGCGGAGCGATACGCAGTTGTCCCCGGTGAAACCGTAAGTTCTTATTAAGTTTTGAGATTCCCCACGTTAAGTTTATGACGACGCCGTCAATAAGGTAATATGATAGCTGATGTCAAATGCATACAGGGACAGACAGTTAATTCAGAAGAGGGGAATGGCGGTGATGTGAATGTCCCCCAGAATGAAGCGAAGCGTATGCGTACGTGATTCCTTGCACCAGAAGGAGCTGCCATTAGAAAACCCCGAAACTTGCAAATTCGAGTCTAGATGAAATGAAAATGCCAAGCCTTGGGTCCTTTAGCCTTCCTTTGTAAGTTGACTCCACATCTTAAATAATAGGGTATCATATCTGCTCCCATATTGCGAATCCTTGAAAGTGAAGGACGCAACATTACTGATTATAACATAAATCGTCTTTCTGCACTTAAAAGACGAAGATGTTTTGAATATGTAGTTTCAATCGGGAAGTGTTGTCGGTGGGGATGGCATGTAAGATGGATATATGCTTAATGTGAATCGCTTGACGTTACTCGTGTATCGTCAAAACATCATGGTGTATATTGTTTCCATGTTAGATAAGATTTTACTGTGTTGCTTTCTTCGGAATCCAAAATGCTTGCGCTCATTTATGGAAAAGTTGAGCGATATTCAACACTTGATAAATCTTATTACTTAATTTCTCTAAACATAAATAGCCGAGTAGATTCTATCGTTGATTCTTTCTCGTTTTTGACCGAGAAAGGCAAGCAAAAGCAACAATTAGTAGGTAGTCTTGAATGGCTTGTAAACCTTAAGATCATGAATCACACCGGCAATCGAACCGGCGGCGGCTATGATCGAAATCACGAGGCAAGCTAAGCTTAGAGTCTTAAGACAGATCCATCTACTACTCCACTTGGATATTAATTTCTGTTCAATGTACATCTCCACTGGAAAATAAACCGTCAAAGGCCAAAATCCAAGCGCCCCCAGAATCCCCACGACTTCGCTGAAGAAAGGGAGCAACATCGATATCAGAGTGGTTAACATAACAAACACTGTTCTCCAAACCGATCTAAACAGGTTAAGTTTGCAGGGACGATAACCCCGGATCGGCACTGGGATCTTGAACTCTTTCGTGATAATCTTACTTTCGGGCCATCTCCGTGTCACCCATTGTTCGATGAAGGTGAAAATCGGCTGGCAAAACACTTGATATGCTCCCACCAGATGGATCACAATAGCAGCATTAGCGATATCGACAAGCCAAAATGGGTTGCCGAAACCCGTTAGGAGATTTTCGGGTGCAGAGTCTCCAAAGGAGGCGTAGCCCATGCACCCACACAGCATGTAGAATACTGTTGTTACTGCAGTGCTAAGTTTCGTTGCCTTCCTCATTGTCTTTGCTTCAGCTGGTGGCGATTTCAACGTGTCCTACAAAATCCGCAATGATAAGCAAAGCTAGTGCTTACTGTAATCAGCCGAAAGACTCGTATGGACTTTGTACCTGAATTTCAATAAGAATCATAGAAAATGAGTATGCAAAAGCAATGTCACCAAGAGCTCGGAAGCTCCTCAATATCTTTTGAGCTTGTGACACTGTTCCGACGCTTATTCCGGTAAGGTTACCCCTAAAAGTTCCCGTAGCTGCCCAAATGAGTACAATCCATCAGTCTAAGAAGAATAGTTCAACAATGTTAAGTCAGGTTGGATCCCGAACGATGAGCAAGCTCTCCCGGTACCTATTTTCTTCGTTCTCAAGACTCAAACTCGAGATCTTACTAGAGGCGTTTGAAGCATGCATGGTTTTGAAGTTCATACCTGCAACTTTGGCAATTCCAAGGGCAAGACCAATGGTGGAATAGGTAAAAGACATGAGAGCAGCCAGAATTGAGAGCCACCAAATTTGGTCAAAATCTGGGATTTGAGAAAGCAGGATCTGAGCGACCCCAAACACCATCATGTGTGGATTATTGGACATATGACATGGTTTCTTCCCCCCACTATAGTGCACACAATTGGACCTTCTTATTGCCCTACCATTATCACCAATTCAACATGTCGCAACTCTTAATCAAATTTTGATATGAAAAATCTATGGGTAAACTATAAGTTTAGTACCTAAACTATTACTTTTGTTCTGTTTCGATACCTGAACTTTATTTTTTTTTTCAAAATCATACCTAACGTTTAGTTTATGTTTCATTTCGGTACCCCTCCATTAAAAAATTAACATTACTGATGACGTGATATTTTTATTTTCTTTCAATGATGACGTAACATTACCTTATGGTGACATGTCACTATCACAGTTAAATTTTTAATGTGGGATACCAAAATAAAACATAAACATATATATGATTTTGAAAAAGAAAAAGTTTAGATACCAAAATGGAATAAAAGTAATAATTTAGATAAGTTACCCAAAATCTATATACACATATTTACTTACATCATACTCATTGATGCTGCAATTGTATACCCAATAGACACGCCAAAAAGGTTTAGATATTGAATAAACCCGCAGATCACCACCTTGTATCCACCTTATCAAGTAAACAAAATAACATTTACATTAGCCAAAGCACATTTCAATTCAAAATAAATCATTTTCTTCAAATTTAAAATTCTTTTATAATAATATTTTGAAATATAAAAGATTTTTTTAATAAAATATTTATACAATCATTTATACTATTTGAAACATATATTATCTTGTAATCACCTCATACTATTAAAAAAAATAAGGTATGTGTTTAGGTTCGGATGCATAGATTGTAATCATTAATTATTATTATTATTATTATTATATATAATTACTAAAATTTATACTTTAATTACATAATATAATTTAGCTTAAAATTACAACTTTGTTAATTATAATTTAAAATATATATTAATATTAAGTAATGATATATGTAGAATTTTATGTTTTATCAAATAATAATTAATATTATATCTTTATCAAAAGTGGATTACAAAAATTGCGTTATATTTATTTTAAATAAATATTAAAATTATAATATTTAAATAATAATTTGAATTATATTTTGACTAATCCCTTAAACTAATAATACTAAAAAGAAAAAGAATGGGGTTAAAATAAAGGAAATAAAGTGGGGCAAAAAAGATTCAAACCTTGGTCACTTAGGAAACTAAACATGTATCAAACCATTAAGCCAACACCATTGCTTGGTCTAAAGTAAACAACATGGTGTATATATTTTGTATCTTAGTTTATAAATATACAAAATATATATTAACTTATTAAATATATTTTATTATTAACTTGTTAAAATTTGTTTAAAAGTATGACTTAATTGAGAGAATATGTAAAAAAAATGAGACCAAATGTGTGATTATAACAACTATCATGTCACATATTTTGTTAATTGTTAACTGCAGTTAACCCATGATGACTGCATTTTAATTAAATAAATACGAAAGTGACCATATTTTAATTAAATAAAAACGAAAGTGGTCATATCTTATTTTTTTGAAATCAATGACCAAAAGTGGATAAAACACAAACATAAGTGATCATCCGTGTAGTTAGCCCTTAAATTTCTTTGAATATGATATAAGGGTAAATGTCCAATTAAAATAAAGGTAAACTCCACGTTTGATATATGAACTATCATTTTTGTTTCATTTTGGTCACCAACTATTTTTTGTTTCAAAATCATACCTATTGTTTTTAGTTTCATTTTTGGTCACCCATCATTAAAAAAAATAACATTGATGTTGACGTGTCACCCTAAGTTAATGCCACATCATTGTTGGAAATATTTTAAAAAAATATTATGTCAACAATTCTGTTATTTTTTTAACTGCGGGTGAACAAAATGAAGCCAAAAGTAACGTTTGTTATAATTTAAAAAATCATAGTTGGGTGACCAAAATGGGACAAAAGTGATAGTTGGTTACTAAACATGTAGTAAACTAAAAAAACTTGGATGAAATGAAGGCAAAGGTTGGAGGAGGCTGATATTTATTTACTTAAAAGAGAAGAGAGGGGAGGAAGAAAGATACCGAGAATAGAGCGAACAGCGTGTGTGTAAGTATAGTTGCGCTTGCCGGAGACAGGATCGCCGGTCCGGTAACACTCCGTGAGTAGAGAAGAAGTGTAGTATGTGACAATGGAAAACAGCAGCATGACCGTAGGACCGGCGATCCACCCCAGTTGAGCAATCGCCCATGCTAACGAAAGCACCCCCGACCCTATCACCGCCGTTATTATGTGTGCACTCGCTGTCCAGAAACTTCCAGTCCGTTTCGGACTGCCGTCGTCGTCGAAACATTCGGACCCGTTCCGAGACGGGCTGTCGATAAAGATATGGTGGTTGGTATTGTTAAGGCTCTCACCCATGCTTGCAACCCTACTCAAGGGAGGGAAGAAGGAAAGTGTATAAGTTGATGTAGCTTTAACTCCAATTGTAGAGATAAGTTTGTAGTATTCATGTGTAAAGGAATGGAGGAGGTGGGGGTATTTATACAAGTTGAATTATATAAAGGAAAGGGAAAAGCACCTCGGACGTATAGAATCTCATTCTGTTAAGAGCAATTTATATATCTGGTCACTCATTTATCCTCACGGTTCTATTTTAGAAATATTAATTTTTTAAAAAACAAATCATATCTAACATTATATTTTGATCATTCTTTATTAAAAAATAAACATAATTATTGTTGACATGGCAATTTTTCATTTTTCAATGATGGCATGGCATTACGTTATGTTGATACGTCAACATCACCATTAATTTTTTAACGACGGGTGACTAAATCGTAACGTTATAATGATTTAGAAAAATAATTGTGTGACCAAAACGAAACCACAAGAATAAATGAATGACTATATACGTAATTTATTTTAATATTAAACTATGGTCACACAATAATTTTCAAGATCTTCAAATTATAATTTTTAAGAAACAAATATGAGTGGCCTTAGTGATTAGAGGAAAATAATTGTTATATGATATGTAACCTACAACATCCATAAATACATACCCCATAAATCTGAATCGCAAGTGTAATTACCACTCAACCAATTTTTTTTCCGAATAATATAGGGTGATTATGAGGTAATATTTATTTAGAATATTTTTAATCATTAACAATACAAACATACTCTGCAGAAACAATTATTTGAACCCAAAACATCTAAGAATAACAATTCTCCCTTTAACCGGTAAGATCACTCGATGGTTGACAGTGAACCAAAATTTAATATTATGAGACCCCATTCAACGTATGATCGTGCATGCACCTTGAGTATCATTGATTGTCAAAGCTATAAGGCGTTACGTAAGTGAATTTTACATGCCTAAACCAAAACGAGCACCACCGTTGAAAGCATCCTATTCTCCTAATGTTCCTCACTCAAACTCTGTTTTGGACCAAATTTATCATTTGTGGCTTGTAGCTACATCTCCACGTAATTTGGGTTTTTAATTTCGTCCTTCAACTCATCTATATTTGGCCAAACTGCACATGGTTATGATATTTATTGTACATTATTTCTCAAACTTTTATTCATTGTAATTAAATCTTCAGAATTTCAAACCAGATAACTTGATATTATGAACCAATCGACTATAATTATTAAGGTAAAGTACACAGATGGTCCCTCGACTATAAGGCATTATTATATTGAGCCTCTAAATATTAAAAGTTAAAAATCATCCCACTATAGGATGGTGCTTTGTTGAGTCATCTGACTATTAAAAGTTACGAAATGATCGTCTGGTTGTTCATATGTTCTAAATTCATCTTTTTTTTTGTTAAAATATTCACGTTCTTCTGAGTTGGATGTTAATTTGTTAATTTAAATATAATAAAATACGATGAAACTAGACTACCGCCAAAGACAACTTTTATTTAACAATGGCAACTGAATTTCATTAATAAAAATGGAGGAGTCAAAATTACAACGCATCTAATGAGGAAATTGAAGACATTGGTCACCAAAAACTCATACATAAAATTAAAATATTAAGCTCAAAGATACGAAGAGAATGAAACCTTCCAAACATCAAAACAATCCAGTAACCTTCATAAAACTCATTGTCTCTATCAAACGAGACGCTTTACGATGTGATAAAGGAGTGGTGAACGAACCAAAGAATTTGGCAGACTTCTTCGCTACACAATTCTGATTATATCAACAAACAACCATTTACAAAAGAGGGGATATGACAATACGCGAGCACCGACAAGTCAATCAGAAAACAAATGTCATAAGAATCTTGTAGAAGCACCAACACAACCGCAGAAGTATGGAAAAAAATTACCAAAAATCATAATAAATGTGCCAGAAGAGCCTAGAAAAAGCGTGCCACAAGAGCAGATAAAAATGTGTCACATGATAAAGATTTGTTGGAAAAAAATTGATAATATTGGAGCTTTGAATGAGAAATTGTTCCAAACGTTGTTGAGGAAAATGTAGAACCAATTTTGGTTCGTAAATGTGTAGACGTGCACAATGTGGGTAATGTGAATGTCTGAACCGGTCTAGCTCTTTGTGGGCTTGCGGATATTTTAACCCAAATGTGAGATATTTTTCTCAAATAGAGAACATCTTTTCAAAATCCGTTTTGGAATTAAAAGGATAAATATTAAAAGGTTCTTTTATTCAAAATAATAATTTTGGAAATTTTTTAATTGTTTGATTCTCATTAATGCTTCATTAAGTCAAAATTTTCCAATTGTTCACAATGTGAACCCTTATAAATACCGTGTTAACATACTAGGTTAAAAATAACTCAAAAACCAATTCAAATGAATTCTTTTCTCTAGCTTTTTGGTGATAGGCGAAGACAATGCATAGTTTGTGATCTCGGCAGTTGTGCTACTTTGCTCTGATTGTCTCGTTTTTGTATCATGGGAGACGACGACCTAAGATCTTGAGCACCAAGGAGTGACAAAAAATTTGTCTTAAGGAAACATCGTAATTGCAGACATTAACTTATTTCTATTCATATATTTATGGTTTTCTATTCAGATGATTTAATCGAATATTTTCCATGTTATTAATTGTGTTTGTTTTATTCTTTATTCATGTACACGAATTTTACGACGAGATCATGCTGAGAAATTGAATGTCATTTACCGCGACTTGTATGAATCACCATGGAAGCAAATTGTGGATCTATAAAATATTTGATTTTTTATTTTCTTTTCGTCTCGAATTTTATACCTATAACAAGATTCATATTTAAAAGTGAAAAAACTCCAAAAAAAAAAAACAAATACATAATATGAAAAAAATCACCTACGATCGACAACCAATATTAAAATTGGTGCCGCCATCGATTAAACAAAAAACAAAGGAAAAAAGACGGTACAAGAATTTGAGAGAAAAAATTAGTTCCAAAACAACTGTTTTAAAAGAAAAACTATGATTAAACTTGATTATCTTGCTAAATAGTCAAGCATTCAATATTAACTTATTACTTTAAATGTAACATTTTTATTACAATTTTAATTTTAATTGTAGTTGAACTTTCCTTTTCCTTGTAATTTTAAATAAAATAGTGCTATTTAATTTTCATATAAGAAATAATAAATACCATTACTTAGGTAAGGATGGTTGGATGTGGTACCCACGGTAGAAGGTACTTAAGAGGTTGAAAATGGTTGTTAACGGTGGTTCACACTGAGTGGCGCAGAGAATCACCGATGTAAATGCTTAACTTACTTCTATTTATAGACGGAGTTTGGCCACATGGCATCATCAACCTATCTTTCATACACGCTATCATTAAAATCACTGTCACTGTGATCACTTCCAACCAGGCATGGATGATAGATGTTGGTTACAAATTCACTCGCTGGAAATTTTATTTTCTCTTATATTTTATGTAAATTTTTATATTTTCATCAATTATCTAATTTGGTATCCCTCGATATCTTTTAATTCTGCACCTTCTCCTAATATAAATTTCTACGTCTATATTTGCTTTCAACCAATAGTGGATCCATCCTCGACCCGAGATGGACATACGACCATCATAAAATTTTAAAAAAAATTATTAATTATTTATTTTATAGATTGTGTCTACTTTAAAATTTTATTTATACTCACCCACACGAAAGTTTTATATTACAAATATCTTTGTATCCACCTAGGAGAAAATTTCTAAATCGGACATTGCCTTCAACTCATACCTCAACCTCAATCCCAGTTTCATTTTCGAACTCCAACGAAGTGTACTGCTACCCGGCGTTTCTTAGCACAATAAAACGATGTCGTTTAATGTTTAATGTTATTAAATATCGTTGTTGAGTCTGATGTTTTTATGTTTAATATTTTAGTTTATACGATGTCGTTTTGACCTTATTTGTCACGTTGTTGGGATTTGTTGATACTACATCGTTTTGAATTTTTTTTTTGTGGGGGGGGGGGGGGGAGTTTAAAACTTTCATTGTTGCCAAGGTTTATTTCACATGGAAAATAATATAGTGAACTACATGGATGACCATTAAATTATTGGAGAATTTTAATCTGACCATTCATCTTTTAATTTTATTAATCAAACCACTTAATTATTAAAATTATATGAATTAAGATATTTTGCGTTAACATTTGACGGGAGAGATGTTGTGACAATTCATAAATTTGATATAATTACATATTTAATCTTTATTGCTTACACATTCTATCAATTTGGTCCTAACTTTAATATTTTCTTTCTTACATTTATAATTCACTGATTAGATATATGAAATTATATTAAAAACAAAAATTATATTAAAAATATATTGAATTAGATTAATATTAGGACCAATTTGATAGAAGTGTAAGTAATGAAGATTAAATGTGTAATTATACCATTTTTATTAATCGTCACGTTAGTTTCTCCGTCAAATGTTAAAGACAAGAGTCTTGATTGCAAACATTCAAATAGTTAAGTGATCTAATTGAATTAAAAGATCAATGATCAAATTAGAATCCCTCCATAGTTAAGTGATCAACCATGTAGTTTACACAAAATGATAATGTATTTTTGATGGGTAAAATACATAAATGGTCATTGAAGTATGACTAATTTTTTTCTTTCAGCATTGAAGTTTCAAATGTAGCGAAATGATCTCTAACATTGTCATTTTATAACAAATCATTCAATCGACCATTCGTTTCCCCCTCCCTAGATGTCCACTTCATGCATTTCTTATCGATGCCATCGATGATTTCTTCACAATTTTTTCTTCGACCAACTCAAAATCAAACCCTTAAAAGTCCACACTCTCATTACTTCTGCTCTATACATCATTTTTTCTCTGTCGACAACCCATTCGAACCCCTAACTATCCATACGAAGAACACTTATTGGCAACAAAAGTTGAGAGTTTATTGTTAGAAAAATCGCTCCGAGAATAAATAGAAAATAATGATAATAATATTCAAATATCATTATA